GGGGGGGGGGGGGGGGGTGCATGCACGTCACTTGCGTGTCACATCATGACACGTTGCGTTCACGTTAGAAGTCACAAAAGATCAGATTGAACACAAATCTTAATCGGGAATTGTGACCCGCTGTGTGAACATCGTCTTTTTTCACATTTGTGTAAAACTTGACTGGAGAGTTTCCACTATGCTTTATATTACTTTACATCGACATTATACATACACGCTCAGATGTATATACACATTTTTTGTGTGGGATATACGGTTTATTTTTACTATTTTACCTCCGACAAAGAAGAAAGACAGGATGTAAGGAAGGACTACCCCCCCCCCTTCCATTTTGTTATAGACAAAGACCCACCCCGGTCATAAAGGACGGGTGGCCCGAGAGCCGTATGCCCAAGCAGGGATTGATATCATTCCAGGAAATGAGGTCATATCCAAAGCGGTCACCTCGACGAGAGGAATCGTTGCCATGAAAATGACAACTTGCAGTGACGTCCACTCGCCTTGTGAGGTCGGATTGGACTTGGCCGTCGAAAGCTTTGCTAACGTCTCCCCGGGGATGACATGCCGTGTATCCACTTGACGCTCACTTGCAGGCAGCCTGTAACAAAATGTGACAACTCCAGTGTCATCCCATCGAAAGGATAGCAGGGTGAGGAGCATCCAGCACCTCCGGGCGACCGCCATCCCAGTTGATCACCCCCCTTTTTTTTTTTTCCATTGGCTTGGCCTGAATGGAACAACTGACTCCGGTTCTGCACTGACACACTCTCCCTCATGCAAACTCGCCACCTATACAAAGCGGACATGCTCCCCTTTTCTTCTTGACCGTTGCCACGAAGTCTTCCACGTGGGCGGCTGCGACTGTAAATTTGAAACCGCTGACTAAAATTGCATGTTTGATCTGAGAGGATAAAACAAAATAAATCTGTCGACCGTTACGTAAAAACGGTTTCGAAGCGGCACTTTCGCATATTCGACTTCAAAGGGGCTTGTAAGTGTTGAGAGTCATCGTCTGCGTAAATACGGAGCGTTTCCACTTCACGCCACCTCTTAAGTGACTCGGCCTATTAGCGGTGTAAAAATAGCCTCGCTCAAAAGTGAATAAGACTTTGTCAAGTCGGAGGCAGAGGCCCTTATAAGGACGGATGGAAGAATGCGAGGAGCTCGAAAGTTCAAACAAGCGCGCAGTGTCATACAACAGCAGTCTTTTGAGTGAGCTGGAGAGGGGAAAAAAAACTAAAAAAAAAAAAAAAACAAGCGTGTGACAATGTCCCAAATATCAGTCAAACCTTGTGCACCTTGTGCAACGGAAGCGATGAGGTCGAACACGACCACTTGTGATTTGTATTGGGAATCTTTTTGTTTTTTTCCCCAATAGCAAAATCTGGAATGAAAGGGTTCCCTCTCCCGATTGCGGTTTACCAACTGTGGCCCCTCGACGTATCATATTTACTGGCCTATCACAGAAATCGGCACTACACAGCAGAAATGAGCGTTGTATTCTTCGTCTTTCAAAATATGTTTCATATGACAGAACTTGAAGGTGACAGTAGATACATGGCAAATTTTACACATATTGTATGCAGATTTATTCCATTTTTTCCCCCCATAATTGTTTGGACATTTGAGCAAAATAATGAAACTTGCTTCTTGTTTTGACCCCAAATCAGACCTGAGACTGAATCGACAAGTACCAATTGGACTTCAAGACCCAATTAATCAGCAATCGTTTCCACGCAACTTTTAAGAACCAATTCATCCGCTATTGGATTCTCCTCCACCACTGCCACCGACGATGCTCCAATCCGCCATGTTTCCTTTTCTTTCTGCCGCCGGTGTGCAAGGCGCTACACGAGGAGACAGCGAGTCTTTCTGTGAGTCCACTTGCGTCCAGTTGTCGCAGCCAGAAAGGGCTCATTGAAAGGTAAAGTCGTGTAAACACTCCAACCGCCGCGTCTCCCCGACACCGACCAAGAGTGACAAACGAAACCTTTTT